TTTCATTTTATTTACATTTTTATTTCAATCTTGGATATATTGGTTTTTTGTTTTTTATTTGGTTGTCTCAAACTGAAGTGATTTGGTTGCAGAGAAACGAGAGAGAAAGATGTGGCATTCAAAGTGTTATACTGTGGGATATGCCATTCTGACCTTCACATGGTGAAGAACGAATGGGGGATTACTACCTATCCCTTAGTTCCCGGGTACATACATACTCTCCGCATGGTTATGCTAATCATCTTTGATATCTGATTATGCTAACCATGTAATTAATCAATTGTTAACTCAATTTAATTGGGAAATCAGGCATGAGATTGTTGGAGTAGTGACAGAGGTAGGAAGTAGAGTGCAAAAATACAAAGTTGGAGACAAGGTAGGTGTTGGGTGCCTGGTGGGATCTTGCCAATCTTGTGATAAGTGTGCAGACAATCTTGAGAACTACTGCCCCAGACTTATACTCACCTATGGTGCCAAGTACCACGACGGAACCACCACATATGGAGGTTACTCCGACATCATGGTGGCCGATGAGCACTTCGTGATTCGTATTCCGGATAACCTGCCTCTTGAGGGTGCTGCTCCTCTCCTTTGTGCCGGGATTACAACCTACAGCCCCTTGAGATATTATGGCCTCGACAAACCTGGCATGCATGTCGGTGTGGTTGGCCTTGGTGGTCTAGGCCATGTGGCAGTGAAGTTTGCCAAGGCTATGGGGGTTAGGGTTACAGTGATTAGTACCTCCCCTAGTAAGAAGGAGGAAGCTATTAAACGTCTCAAAGCCGATTCATTTTTGGTCAGCCGCGAACAAGATCAGATGCTGGTATTGTCAAGTTGCATTGATGACTTTCATTTATGTATAGAGGAGGATGATATAATATTTTGTCTCCTTAATTTTGTAGGCGGCCTGGGGCACAATGGATGGTATAATCGACACGGTTTCTGCAGTTCACCCTATCTTGCCTTTGATTCGTTTGTTGAAGACTAACGGAAAACTTGTGGTGCTTGGTGCACCAGAGAAGCCCCATGAGCTTCCTGTTTTTCCTTTGCTAATGGGTAAAGCGCATATAAATGGCGTAACTCACTTCAAAGTTCAAACATTGGATTGGACAAAAGAAAGCTATAATTTTGATTGAGAGAATTTGATGAGTGT